TCATTTTTAAATAAAATGCCTATCTTTGACTCAAATTAAGTGAAAATTTGTTCACATAGGTAAAAACTGATGATGAATTTAATAGGCACACTTTCTGGATCGTCGGAGAGTATTCAATGTGTCTCTGGAAATTCTTCTTTGAAAATCATAGTATAAACAGAAATAGTGATAGTATGCGTGTTTCTTTCTATAAGATAATTTCTTTTGCAGCTGGACTAAGTTAATTTAGTATGCCTGGAACTAGTAAAAGGAAAAGTCAGTTATATGCTGCAAGAGCTTGCCGCGGGACAAATGTACCGATTTTGGATTCAAGCGACTCGTCCAGTGATGAATATCGAACGGATTTTGATGATGAAGAATTATATTTCAAAGACAAACTTTTGCTAACTGATATTGGTGATCTTGCTGAAATGTGCAATACGGAATGTGACACCAAATATCTTAGCACGTTGCTTTATAGGTCATTACGTTTCTTCAACATTAAATGGGAAGATGCCAACGATTCTCTGAAGAACATTGGTCTTATGACGGCAGAAACCTCTCATAAATGAACAACAGTGTTTATCAGAGGAGATTATGAAGAGTTTTCAAATGATTTACGTGATGGTAAACAGACTGACTGGTTCTATGACACATTTCCCAAGATTGAAGTAGATGCTAGAGTATTCGTTGTTCAAGCATGTTCTCAAAAATCAGCGGAGTTTAAAGCAGCGGACCTGGCCCAGTTCATTGATACGAAATATTATGAATTGACGGGAATTAAAAAACAAACAGGGGATGATTTGATAAGATCGGAAAGAAATTGTCGTCTGGATCTCCATAGATGGGGAGCTAAATTCGAAGCGAACTCACAACGTCCGTATTTTGAAGGACATGAAAGAGATGATGTTGTGAAATATCGTAATGAATTTATTAATTATTTCCTAACACGTGAGGATTTTTATTACACAATTACTGATGGTGACACACCAATGTGGAATATAGCGACTCAAAATCCTCATAGAATACATATATGTAAGTGCAGCAATTGAAGCTTCTTTAACATAATTGGTATTATGCTCCTTTTTATATTTATCTTTACTAGTTCACGATGAATCAACCTTTAGAAGTGGTGGAGTTAGTCCAAAACGATGGTTTTTCAAAGAGACTATACCGTTTTTATTTCGAAAAGACGTGGCCGAAGCCATATGGTATCTAATTTTCTTGTTGAACATCCGAGTGGACCCTTTTTTGAACTTAGTGAAGATGAATGGAAACAAGCGGTTGCAAAATATAAAAAATTAACCGTCGATAGTGATGTTGACTATCTCAGTCGAACAGCAACAGCTAGTATCAATATCGGAACAGACGCTTATTTTGATAATGATACAATTTTAAGTCAGTTTGAAAGGCTCTTTCAAATGCTAGGATTCAAACAAGCATATAAGGGCCATCAGATAGAAATCATCGTGAACAACGCAAGGGCCCACATTACTAAAGTGTATTCGTTACAAGATTTTCGTAAAAGTATTGATGGTCAGTGTCCGACTGGAAAAAATTGAGTATGTCGATGGAAATGGTGTCAGACAAGTTACTGATCATTATTTTAAACAGAGTCCACACAAAGGTTAATCAAAAGGTTTAGTTGAAATATGTAAAGATTTACGTGGAAAATTACCGTATAAAGTTAAACTAGCGGAAATTCATGAAAAACTTGCAAAACATCCAGCTTTTCGGAAGGTAAGTCAAATTAATTCTATATTCTGAAACGTATTCTGTTCTGTATAATCTACTCTATTTTATAGGTTACAAAACTAGAGATGTTGGCGAGGAAATACAATATGAAGATTATATACTGTCCTAAATATCATTGTGAACTAAATGTAATTTAAGGTCTTTGGTGCAATCAAAAGGCATTTGTTCGTTCACATACAGATCAAAGTTTTGGCAAAATGATAAGATTAATAGCGGATTCTCGTACACATTTTGTCGAACGAAATATAGCATTAAAGTTATTCCGACGCTTCTGACGTTCAATCGAAGCATATTCTCAAGGTCAAACATATGTTGACGTGTTACAACTGTTTTTCAGTCAACTTTGCAAAACATCAGTTCAATCGCATCGTCGAATATCAAACAGAAACATAAACCAATCTTAATAAACATTCTTTTTTGCTATTTTAATACTTTTATTTAGGGTACCTCCCCTCATATTACATAGCCAAGCATAATGAGTGATTAATTTATCTATTAAAGGGCATAAAATATCGATTAATATCACAATACTATGATTTTTTAAGAAGGATTTCCAGAGACACATTGGAGATCCTCCGAAGATCCAGAAAGTGTGCCTATTGAATTCATCATCAATTTTTACCTATGTGAACAAATTT